CTTCCTTCCTTCGCTGAAGCTGACTTTTGTAGTATGTTTTAATTTCTTGCTTTTTATTTTTTGTGTATCAGTTGCAGGTTTTTTGATTTGACGTTACCATGAGGCTTACCAAAAAATATTATATAACCAAGTATTTTAAACATGTGACAACACTGCTGACAAACAAGTAAAACAAAAAGAAATGAAACAGAAATTCTACCTTTGACTTCATCCTCTTACCCCTGCTTTTTAACTTTTTGTTGTTTCCATCTGTATCTTTTTATACTTTCTCAAAAAGTTATATTTTTGACAGGTTTGTCTTTAATCTTTCTACTCAAAATATAAGTTACTTAAATACTGCAATAGCAATAAAGTATTCTGTATTTGTGTACTTACTGTTGCCAGTGAATTGCATACCTCTGGATAAGTTCTTATTGTTCATTAATGTCCTTTTCTTTCATATTGAAGAACCCTTTTAACATTTCTTGTAGGGCATGTCTGGTGTTGATTAAATCCTTCAGCTTTGTTGGCGAAAATCTTTATTTCTCCTTCATGTTTACAGGATATTTTTGCAGAATATGGTATCCTAGGGTTAACATTTTATTCCTTCAGCACTTTGAATATGTCATGGCACTCTCTCCTAGTGTGTAAAGTTTCCACTGAGAAGTCAACTGCCAGATGTACTAAAGCTCTTTTATATGTTATTTTTTTTTTCTTGCTCTACTAAGAACCCTTTTTTTGTCCATGACCTTTGGAAGCTTGATCGTTAAATGCCTTGAGGTAGTCTTGTTTGGGTTAAATCTGCGTGGGGTTCTGTGCCCTTTTTGTACTTGAATATTGATATCTTTCTCTAGGCTTAAAAAGTTTTCTGTATTTATTCAAATAAACTACTTTAGTCTCTCACTCTCTACCTACTCTTAGAGGCCAATAACTCTTAGATTTGTCCTTTTGAGGCTATTTTCTAGATCTTGTAAGTATGCTTCATTCTTTCTATTTTTTTCTTTTCCTTGTCTTCTGTGTATTTCAAATACTCTATCTTCAAGCTCACTAATTCTTTCTTCTGCTTGATCAATTCTGCTGTTGAGAGACTCTGATGCATTTTTCAGTTTTTCAATTGAATTTTTCAGTTCTAGAATGTCTGCTTGATGCTTTTTTATTTCAATCTCATTTCTCTAAAATGCTTCTGAATTCCTTCCCTGTGTTTTCATGAAGTTGATTGAGGTTCTTGAGGACAGATACTAGACTGGTCACTGGTAACCTATCTAGTTCATTTGGTGACATCATTTTTTCCTGGGTGTTCTTGTTGATTATGGATGTTCATCAATGTCTGAATATTAAAGAGGTATTTATTTTTTAATCTTTGCACTCTGGGCTTGTTTAAATTCATCCTTCTTGAGAAGGCTTTACACATATTCACAGAGTTTATAGGTCACAGGAGCCAATGTGAAAGAGCACCCAGTGACCAAAGTTAGAATCATTTGAGCAACAAAATAAAACAATGATAGTTTTGAGTAATAACCCAACGAACAAGGTAAACACTTGTAAGTCCATACTGATATAAATACTTAACTGAATAAATAAATAAATGAAGAAGAAAGGGAAGCTCTTCCTTACAGAGAATTTAAATTAATGCACATAGAGGAATGAGAGAGAGATGGAAAATCACCACTAGAACATCACAGAAAAAACGCTACACACACGAGATCCACTGATCTAAATCTTTAGTAACTACAGTCATATTAGTACTAGCATTCCCCCATGCCCAATAATGTTGTGTGACTCTTGACTCCTTGTTGTATCACCTTGGTGGACATGGATAAGATATAGGAGAATTCTAGCTAGCTGGAAATTTGGTTTCTGGAAAGAGGATTTTCCTATGGCCAAGCTGGTCTACATACTTCCTCTGTGGGCACAGACAAAATTTTGCCCCATGTTGTGTTCCCCTCCGACAGAGAGGCCCTGCATTCCAGTGAAAAGTCCTACAATCACTTCAGTCCTCACCCACCAGTCACACAGATTCTCTCCTCATTAGGGTGCTGCAGGAAGATGGGGCATGGGTAGTGTAGGCAATATAGGCAATGCAAGATTATCTTTTCTAACCTCTTCAGTTTTTCTTTTGTTGATATAATGGTAAAACAAAGTAATGCAATTGCTCACCAAGTTTCTGGTTCTTTTAAAGTTGTTTTTCTGCTTGGATGTTGTTGAATTTGATGTTTGTGCAGAGAGAAAATATCTGGAGATTTCTATTTGTCCATCTTGCTCCACTCCCTTCTCAGGTCAGATCTTTGAGGCAGTGGTCTATTATGAGGTGAGCTAACTCTCTCACTGGCTAACAAAAGGTGGCATAAGGCCTGGAATAAGTTTATAGGGTAGTCAGGCCACAAAAGCTGCAGTTCCTGTGGTTATGTTGGCTTGGAGCCAGGGGACCTGGGGTGCATATGACCCATAGAGATACCAGTGGCTACAGCCAAGCCAGGGCCTATGTCATGCCTCCCCCAACTACAGAGAGCATAGCTCAGAGAGAATCTTCTTTCACCTGGGGAAAGGAAAGGGAAGAGTTCAGAATACTTTGGTTTGCAACTTGTGTACCAGCTCAGCCACAATCAAATAAAGCACCAAGTAGTCTCCTAAAGACCCGGATTCCAAGGCCTTAGTTTCTAGATTGCTTTTCTGGACATACCATGAACCAGAACTAAACAGTGCCCTGAAGGAAAGGACCCATTCCTAACAGGATTTACCTTTGACTAAAGAGTGCTTGGGCTTTGAATAAACATCAGAGGTAGCCATGCAATAGTTACTATGGGCTTTGGGTGAGACTGGGCTGGCTTCAGGTGTGACTTGGCACAGTCCTAACTGTGGTAGCCATGAGAGAGGACCCACATCACTCCTCCCCCAACTCCAATAGCCTACCACAGAAACTGAGAGACTTTGCTTGGTAATCTAGAGAATTCTAAACTAACAGGAGTGTTCAACCTGCAGCCTGTGGGCTGAATGCTGATTTTGTGAGGACTCTGTTTGCTTTTCTGTAGCATCGATATTATGAAAAGTATGTATAAACTTTTTTTTTTCTGATCATCCTTCATTAATGTTTATGTATTTAACATGTGGCCCAAGACAACTCTTATTCTTCCAATGTACAGCAGAAAAGGAAAAAAAGGATTGGACATACCTAATTTAAAGTGAATGGGTCATATAGCATGGGCCCATGCCTTTCCCATTATTTCCCTGGGTGCTCTAGAAGCAACCGTGACTGGTGCCCAGCCCCTGGAAAGCCACAGATAATGCAGACACGTAGGATGATCTGTACCTTGGACAAGCTTCCATTCTGGGTGGGAAAGTCAACTGTGCAGGCTTTGAGAAGTAATGTTGGGGATCTGTTTGGAAAGAGGCTTTCACAATGAAGTCATGTGCTCCTCCATACAGGAGCCAAACCCTAGGGTTTTCCTGTCTACAGCTCCTCCCAAGGTGATTGTAGCCCTCCTCTAAACATACCCCACCCCTAGGGGCTAAGAACACAGCCCTCACCTCCCATTTGTCCTTGCCTTGCTTTTATACATTCTGAGACCTGCTTCATCCCCCTAAAATGGAATTTGGGGGATTATCTTTAATACTCTATCAGTGCCTCTGGTGAATATTAATTTTTGATCTAACTAATTCACATACCAATTAATGTGGTTATTACCTGAAAATATGCATAAAATCTTTTAATTTTTTTTTTTTGTTTTTTTATCTTCAGTGGAATAACAAGTTATTTTATTATTCAAATGGGGTTCACTTCCTGCTGTTTTCAATACGATTTTTAATAAATATGTAAATTCTAAAGTTAATTTACAGCATTCATTGGGAAGCATGATTTTTAAAATGACAAAAATTTGATGGATTATAAAATTATCCCCCTTAAAATCATCCGTCATAGTGAACAGAATGTACCAACCTCTTATAATTTTATAGCTTTTCTTCATCTTATCTTCTGTTAGAGACTCACTTAAAATTGATTATAAAATAGTATATTTCTTAGGCCATTATTCATGCACAGATTAATTAGATTTTCAGTTAATATCCCATCATTGTATGGGATGGTAGCCAATGGTGTTTTGTAGTGGTTCAGAGTTGCAGGAGTGAAACCCTGATTGCTATTCCCAAGTGACTGAAGCTACCAGCACTAATCACTAATCACATTCAGACCACATAAAGTATAACATCCTTCACTCCATTTCTTTCCTAGTTGGCTCACAGCAAGAGCTCTTTATTGGCCCTGACCAAGGGACCAAAATGCACTTAAACATTTTTGTGAAGGGTGATTCTTACTTCTTTTTCCTTGCTTAAAATGAAATTTCTATGGCCCTCCCCAGAAAGCATAGAGAGAAGGGTGTGTGTGTGCCTGTGTGTAGATGTCCATGCTTAGCAGGCTTGCACTTAAACATCTTTCTCCTAATCTTTTTACAGCGGGGAGCAGCCTTCAGATTAATTTCATGATTTAAAAATAATACTTTGGGCCAGGTGCAGTGGCTCACATCTGTAATCCTAGCTCTCTGGGAGGCTGAGATGTATATATTACTTTAGATCAGGAGTTCAAGACCAGCCTGAGCAGGAGCAAGACCCCATCTTACTAAAAATAGAAGAACTAGCCAGGCATGGTGAGCACCTGTAGTCCCAGCTACTTGGGAGGCTGAGGATGACTTGAGCCCAAGAGTTTGAGATTGCTGTGAGCTGTAATGATGTCATAGCACCCTACCCGTGGTTACAGAATTAGAATCTATCTCAAAAATAAATAAAAGAGAAGTAAAATAAAATAATTCTTGGTAGCACCCAACAGGAATGCTTAAGGGAGATTTTGCTAGTAACATCTTAAACAGTGATTTAAGGAAAAGCATTTTTCCCACTTACTTAAGAGAACTGTAGATATGCATGGCACAGAAATCATATGCACTGAACCCAGCCCACTCACATTTAACTAACTGAGACTCCAGGTTTTCACAGAGCTGAAGAAAAGATAATTATCCCCCCCGTCACTTCTGCAGCTGGTGCCAGTTCTGATGTATGAAAATTTGCTACCTATTACATTGGTCTGCTTCTGCCACACTGCCTTTCTCTGGGCACCTAAGAACACAGCTAGGCCAGACATCTCCAGGGGTGATTTCAAGGCTTCACTTGGTCCTTCCTGGGACAGACCCCACTAAAGTTACTACCGGACCTGCGAATCGTCTTATATTCCTTAAGAACCTGGGGTATTCTTTGAACTCATCCCAGTATTTATTCATTCTAATCTAGTATTCATTCAGTTTGTTCATAGTAAGGCTTTTTTTCTTCACATAAAACTATTGACTATTTGGAGGCAGCACCTGTGGCTCAGTGGCCAAGGCACTGGCCCCATATACTGGGTTCGAACCTGGCCCCAGCCAACTGCAACAAAAAAATAACCAGGCATCCTGGCAGGCACCTGTACTCCCAGTTACTCAGGAGGCTGAGGCAATCACCTAAACCCAAGAATTGGAGGTTGTTTCTGTGAACTGTGACGTCACAGCACTCTACTGAGGGGGATAAAGTGAGACTCTGTCTCAAAAAAAAAAAAAACACTATTGACTATTTGGACGTTTAAAATACCTCACTGACATAGTCTTCCCATTGCTAAATGGCATAATCCACACAGATTTTGTGTGTTTTAATCTCTAACATACTCTTTAGGGCTGCTGATTATTTCAGAGGGGGTGGTTTACGACAACAGAAATGCTTCTTGAAAGTAGTATATTAATCAGATTTTTTTGGAAAGCAAAGTCTATTTTCCTGTTTATTTACTCGGGAAGTTATTATCTTCACTTTCTAAATAAAGGAGACCTAAATGTCTTCTGGGTGATTAGACATTAACTACCCATCAGGAAATAAATGAGCATTTTCCACCAGGGTACAGCATCTTGTCTTTGGAACTCAATCACTTTCAAAGACACTAAAGGGTATTCAAGAGGTGAAAGATAAAGTTATAGTAAAAAAGATAACCAGTAATAAGAAATATAATTAGCATCCTCCCTTTATTCCACTATCATTAATGGACTGTCTATGTGCCAGGCAAATTCTGGGCATAAGATGCAAAGATAAATAGGTTCACAGTCCCTTCATGGGAGACCGAGACCTGACAACAAAAATATGCACAATAAATGCCAACTAGTACCGTGAGAATGGCCAGCACAGGGAGGAAAGGGGTTTGGGGGGGCAGTGCTCAAGGCTCCTGGTCAGAAAGGGTTCAGAGAAGATTTCCCTCCACCTGATTCTCAAGAGATGAGTGGGTTTTGGCCATCCTGGAAGATGGGGAGAACGTGTTAGAGAAAGGAAGATGTGTGAATCAGAACACAGATGCTAACTGCCTTTCTGGGCTCAAAATTCAGCATTTTGCCATCCTCAGCTGGCTGGCTAAGTAAATATGTTTGATAAGTATCTGCATGCTACTGACTTTTTTCCCCCAAAGTGTTGCTGAGCAGCTTTAATTTTATCTGCAGTTCTCTGGATAATTTGTATCCTAATTTCCTTTTGAGATTACTGTTTGACCCTCACCCCTACACTGCCCTTGAGTACTGCCTGGTTGAGCCCATTGATTCCTGAGCTTGCCTGGGAATAGATCCATTGCATCACTGAGAAAGATCTTGCATATACTCCTGAAATTAAAGTCTATATCTTAAACTGTACACAGATTGGACAAGACTTTGGTATAAGACCCAGCCATGGAAAGATGGACAGATAACTCTTGCCCTAGAAATCAGCCCCATTTTTCTGTGCAAAGTACTTGAATCTTGGGAATATTGCTGTTGCAGCTGTCTACCTATTTTGCAAAGCCTTTCTTTTACGGGGAGAACAATAGAAGAAAGGCACTTTAGCCCCCTGAGTATTTGCTACCTGGTGGGAAAATAAAAGTGTGTGTGGAAGAGGGAATTCTTTACCATTATTCATAGTTCCTGGGCCTAGTAAATAAAAATTGTGTTTGTTCTAGACTATTGAGAGACAGCATTAGCCAGAGCTTCCTTTGCTGTAGTTAATTTGTTCATGAGTGGAGAGATTTAGAGTGTGCTGTGCTTGCCACCAAAGAAATGTGTGTTTTCAGCATTACTGAGTGAAAGACTTAGGTGTCTCCTCCCAGGCCCCTCTAGGCACCACCCTGAGAGTCCTGTTGAATGGGGCCACCGGTCACACATAGGCACAGGAGCTGTCCTGTTCCTCTTGGACCAAGCTCTTGCCCATACTGGGATGAACATACTGGCACTATCATAACCATTTTCTCTCTGTACAAATTTTTCCCTTGAGGCAGAAGAAAGAGACCTTCTCATTATTTATCTTGAGCGTTTTTGATAGGCCTCCTTTGAGAAGGTCATTGTCTGCTACACCAGAATAATCATGGGATTTCTGAACAAGCTGGTAAAAAAAAAATGATTCATTATTTCAAAAATTATTTTGCCTTCTGTCCCCAAAATGGATGAAGGCATATAACAATATGTAAGGGAGAGCAAGGCTTAACTTATTATATGAAAGGTTACACTTTAAAGGAGAAGAAGTTCAAACATTACATTTTTAGCTCTGCTGTAATATAGCAAGGGTCAAGGCTGTCCTTCTGTGAGCCCCGTGGTCTTCTGGATGTTATTGTGCTACTCCTGTTGTAAGAGGAGGCCTGCCTGCCCTCCTTCCCTTCTCATCTACTTGGGCTAATGAGATTGCAGGAATTTTTTCAGGTTCTATTCAGCAGCACCCTCTTACTCTGGGACCTTTGGAATGTCAGAACAAATGGCTTATTTGTCCATCTGTAGGCTCAACGCAAGCCCACAGTGCTGCTTGTCATGGCCCACAAAATAGTGCATCTTCACAGCATGTCCCAGTTTGCTGATTTGGGGGCTAAGGGGTGCTGCTTAACTGCTATGGCTAGTATCATGACAGAGACCAAAAGGTAGTTTATAATATAACTAGTACATCCATGTCTGATACCAAGACACCTATTATGTTGGGTTATTTTTGCAATAAAATTTATTTGGCCCAAATGCAACCCAGATACTCAGAATGAGGCAGCTTGACTGATAGAGATACTGAATTTTGAAATGAAAACTAGAGAGGCTAGGCGATCAATATGACCTTGACTACTCACAAGCCAAATAACTTATGGAAATAATGTAAAGACCCTGTGAACTCTTTTGCCTGACAGAAGAGCTTTAAATAATATTTTAAGAAAATCAAAAGCAAACATCCCCTGGACCTTCTTTAAAGATTGGATCTAAAATGAAAGACCCTGAGTTACACAATTAACTATTGATTTTGTTGATCCATATTTAATTCTCATAGCAATGGAGTTGTGTTTACACAGCCGTGCGGGGCAGACATACTTCACTCGGAGCAAGGCGCCTTTCACTTTTACATTAACTTAAAAATTAAATTGTTCTGTGCATGTGAGACAAAAAATAAAGTTTATTTTTATTGTAGCGGATGGCTGACTTAAACCTCATGGAGTGGTGTTAAGTCAGTTGAGGCGGTTTATGAAGAGAATTCCTTTTATATGTAGTAGTCACATCGCTGAACGAAAACATTTCAAGGGGCAGAGAAAAGCTAAAAAACATTTGCAGGCTACCTGGTACTAAAAGTTTACACTAAAACATTGTCATTTAATCTCCCTCCAGTTTAATTTTTTGATTTGATATATCCTGTAGTATTTGGAGTTCTGTCATTCAAATAGTCACTCTTGGCTTTAAGAAATGTCATCAGCATGGTGTTTACATTCTCACCTGGAATCACAAGACATGTCACCAAGTTTCCCCCTGCCTGAAAGACATAGGAATCTGAATGTGAGCAAATTGTCAGGGCCTGGCTCAGGCCAAGTGAAGGGAGAATTTAAGAAAATGGGGTAGCCAGTGTCTATACCTTCGATCATGGGCCCGCTCTTTTCAGTAACATTTCTCTCCCTGAGGAACTTAGTGTATTGGCTGTTGGTCCTGGATTTCCAGAAAGCAGTGGCAGCTGCTGCATCACCCAACTGCTGGCCCAGCATGCCTGGAGGTGCAGGAGAAGGCCTCAGATGGCTCAGAGCAAGGCACCCCAAACAGGGTGGTCATGGGATGCTAGTCCACGCATCTCTGCCTTTAAAGAAGAAGAAGTTGTTGTTGCCAAAGTAAGCAGTGGTCAAACATGCACTAATCCAAGAGGTGTCCTCGTTCTTGACACTAACCTAGAAATGGAGAGACCTGCTGCTGCTGTATGTTTGAGGCTGGGACAAGTCAGATGATAGTCTGAAAAGATCTTATTATATGAGTCTCTTCATTACAGAAAAACAGACATTAAAGAATATATGATCAAGTCTGTGAACTCTAGAAGGAAATGATGTTGTAAAAACAGATCAAGTAGTGACAACATTTGTTAAGCGTCTAAGGTTTGCACGATGCAGTGTCAGGATCTGAAAAGAGCAAACTCTGTATCTCTATGGTCTCAAGAAGCTTGCAGTTTAGTTGAGAAGAGGAACATTCATATGAAAAATTCTTATACAAAAGAATAGATATATATTGAGGTCAAATGGATGGTTTAGATCAGGAATTCATAGAAAGAAAGATCCCTATGTGTGAACTTTCATAGAAACAGAACAAGCAACTCTTGATAGCTAAAAAGGATCAAGTAATACAATTTGCCTACTATTGACAACAATATGTAATTAGAGAAAAGAGAAGACATTCCATTTTAAACATGTTGAATTTAGGAAGTAACTAGATCTAGAAAGGTTAAGAAAGGTGAGGGGAAATAGTAACTAGTTAACCTATGAAAAACATCTCCCTGAATGGTGTGACAGCCTGAAAATGGGAGAAGATTAAAAGAAGCTTTAGGAAGTTCAGGGAGTTATTTTGAGAATAGGATTGGGAGTCGGCACATCTATAACTTTGAGTTTGATGGGATATTTGTGTTCTAGGTGCCACTATCAGACCAAAGAGCTGGGTAGGTAGACTGTTCATCTAATGCAATGAGGCAGTTTTCAGTGATTCACCTTCCAATATATCTGGAGTGTTGTTCTATATTGACTTGATAGTAAAGTATATTTAACATGCACATTCCACGTGAGCAGTGGCTTCGTCTCCTACAACACTATCTCCAAGGCCTAGAATACTGCCCAGTACATAGTAGGTATATGCACTGGGCAAGGAAGATCTGATGAATGAATAGATGAATAAAC